CTAGAGGATCCCCATGTGATGCGATTATGAACCGCCATTATTATTCTTCAACCCGCACATGCAATGGGGATATACATGCTAGAATGATACCTGCACGAAATCAGTATCCCAGCGTTCTTCAGTGGACGAGATCACCGTGTACGGCATTACGCGACCACGGCACCGGGCACGACGTCCTTGATCGCGTTGAAGCCTGTCTTGGCGACGTTGTCCTCCGGCAGCGGCTTGGGCCCCCCGGTGAGGATGCGGGCGGCCATGTCGGCACCCACGAACGCGTCGCCGTCGTGGAAGTGCTCGAAGTTCTTCACGAACATGTGGCCCAGCTTGTTGAGGGTGGTGGCGAACTCGTTCTTGTCACCCCACACGTTCTCGGGACACAGCACCTCCGAAGGGACACCGCTGATGGACGTGGGCACCTACGACGTGGAACAGCAGGGAGGCGGATATATATGCGTGATGAGCACTTAGGAAGTGCGTCATGGGAGCAAGGGGGCGAGTGGAAAGAGGCTAACTACATGAAAATAACACAATCAAAACCCCGCGCACCTGCAGTCCGAAGATTGGCGTGGTGACGAACTCGGCCTGGTCGAGTTCTCCGCTGTGAATGGCGTCGATGATGGCGCGCGTGTGCCTCAGGCTCATGCGCTTGCCGACACCGTACCTGACGTGGAGGGGTTCCATGGGAATCTTGCGATGTGATGATCAACAAGGAGACATCGCGTAACAACAACAGGGCAGGTGGTCAGGTTGGAACGATTTGAGCGCTCAGTCCACCTGCCCCCCTACCGCCGCCAGCGCCCCCACAGCCGCACGACTCACTTTCCGCCGGTCCAGCCGGTGTTGAGCAGCCAGGCGGTGGTGCCGTGCTTGGACATCTTCTCAGCAAGCATAGTGGCGTACCTGAAGAGAGACGGGGACCGGAGTGAGTGACATGGTGCGGATAAAAGGATAGCAAAATACAAGTAGTCGTTTGTTAGCCATAAGGCACATCCAGCCCCCACTCACTTGTACGGATGCATCATGAGGAATGCCGAGCCGAAGCAGGCGCTGAAGGTGGCCTGTGGCTCCGTCACGCCCACTTCCGTGCCGGCGACTTTGGCTGTGTATCCGCTGATGAAGTGGTACATGGCCTGCTCAAGCGTCAGGCGGCTCACGGGGGGCAGGACGCCGAAGGCGTCACAAGCGAGCAGGATGACGTTCTTGGGGTGGCCGCCAACGCAGGGGATGCGCGCATTGGCCATGTACTCGATGGGGTAGGAAGCCCGGGTGTTCTCCGTGAATTTCTGCGACTCGTAGTCCACCTCGCGGGTGGCGGGGTCAATCTCCACGTTCTCAAGCACGGTACCGAACTTGATGGCGTTGTAAATCTCGGGCTCCGTCTCCGGCTTCAGGCCGATGCACTTAGCGTAGCAGCCGCCCTCGATGTTGAACACACCGTTGTCGCTCCACACGTGCTCATCGTCACCAATCAGGGGCCGCTTGGGATCTGACAGGGCGAGGAGATGATGACGGGAGAGCTGCTCAGGCAGGAGGGGGGTCCTGGTGCGCTACAGACCAACGCCATCACGTACACAACGCTTGCGGTGTCTAAAGAAACTGCTAGGAAAGCACAGCTGGCAGATGCTGCAATGCTTCCTTCAAGCCCGCCCACCTGCCGACAACGTCGTTTTGCCCGTTCCGCTGAGTCCAAAGAACAACGTCACATCGTCCTCCGCGCCCACGTTGCAGCCCGAGTGAAGGGACAGCTTGCCCTGCATGGGCATCAGGTAGTGCATCAACCTGCGAGGGGGGGAGGCGGGGTGGTTAAGAATGACCGCCAACATAATCGCCCACACAAGGTAATCGTTGCGGCTCCGAGCCAGCTCCTGTCCCACCGCTCACTTACGTAAACACTCCCTTCTTCATCTCGCCCGCGTACATGGTGCCGAGGATGACCATCTCCTTGTGCTTCAGACTCAGGTCAATCGAAGTCTGACTGGTCATGAACTGCACACAGAAAACATAACAAGCATTAAACGATTAAAGATGTGTCGCTGACAGGTTGGAGGATTTCGCATGTGCCATGAATTCTCGATACACCATGGGCCCCACATACACGACACTGCTGCCGTACCCCCGCAACTCCGTACAGCCCCCCTTCACCTCCACGGCCCCCACCCTTTCCCCGACGCACATTGGTGTACTTGTTAGCGGGGAAGGCGCCGGCGTTGTAAATGATGAAATCTGTGGCGGGCAAGGCGGGGTAACACTTTCATGTTAGGATGTAATCATACATTATCTATTCCGTAAATTTTGGCAATACCGTCGCCCACTGCTACCACATGGCCAACTTCATTTAGCGTAGAAATTTGATCGGAAAATTCTAGCTATATCAGGTTATCTACCTAATAACGGCACTGTTACTGCCTTTTTTAGTTCGATAAGATCATCTGCTTCGCCGA